GAGAGAGAGAGAGAGAGAGAAGAAAGGAAGAAAGAAAGAAAGAAAGAAAGAAAGAAAGAAAGAGACAGACAGACAGACAGACAGACAGACACCAGGCAATCATAGGACATGGACCCGGCACTCCCCCTTTCCCTAATTTCTTTATCTATTTTAAATTACCAGCCCTCCATTTGATGGAAATGCAAGGGAACAGAGCTTCTGGCATTCTGTCTAATGGATGCAAATACTTGAGAAGGAATTTGTGGGCATTATGTGGGTTTACGGAGACGGAAGATGCCCTTAAAGTAATATCTGTGGTGCCTCCTCCCGCCTTCCCTTCCTAGTCTGGTGATCAATGGGGGTGATACACTCTAAAGAGGAGCGCCTCTTTAGCACCGCGCCTTGGGCTCAAGTGATCTCTGTAAATCGTTTGGATTATTGGATCTGATTGGTTGATTAGTCACGGATGGATGGAAGGAAGGAAGGAAGGAAGGAAGGAAGGAAGGAAGGAAGGAAGGAAGGAAGGAAGGAGGGACCCGTGTGAATTTGGAAGGCAGCGTTTTCCTTCCTGGAGCTGAGTGCGAAGGGCGCCTGTGCCTTCCTTTTGGGGTGCGGGTGGGCACTCACATCCACCCTGATGGGTGGCAGGCAGCAAGTGAAGAAATAGGTCCACGATTGCGTGCGTGGGGCTTCCTGGCTTGAGCCTACATGGCACCGCACCTGCTTGGACCTTCCCAAGGCCCTGGGGTTGAGCATGCCCGTATCTTGAATGCAACTGCTGAAATGGCCGATGGAAAGCCTGGCGCCGAAGGGCCTTCCATGAGTCATCCAGCACTGGGCAGCCAGAAGGGAGTTCGGTGTGCGGCGTGTGGCTGTGTCAGCCCAGAAAATATCTCCCGTCCCCGGGAGGGGTTGCTCTGAGTAAGAAAAGGGGGCTCTGCTCTGGCCTCTCCCCCCCTTCCTGGGCAGTTTCTAGCAACAGCGGCGGCGGCTGGAGCCAAGACTTGCTTTTGTCTGACTCCGTCCCTTTCCCGGCACGGCGATGGAGTGGAGACAGGAGGGGACGTTGTGCCAGCCCGATGCCCCTCCTTGCTTGCCTTGTCCTGCAGCGCGCGCACACACACACACACACACCCTGTTGTCCCTTCCCGAGACTAACTTGACTTGTCTGTGCTGTTGTAGGGGGCAGATGGCCTGTCGGAGCCCGAGGGCATCGCTCTCAAGCGTGTCGCTGTGGTGGAAGATTTCTTTGACATCATCTACTCGATGCACGTGGAGAGCTCAGCAGAGCCGGGCAAGGCCCCCAAGCACGCCGGGCAGAAGAAGCCCTACCGGGCGGTGAGGCTGCCCTTCCTTCCCCAGGCTGCGCCCTGCGGCTGGACCCTCCCTCTCTGCACCTGCCACCCGGCCTG